GCGCGTGCGGGTGCCGTGGAGGCTTCTCTCGGCTCGGTGGTTGCCTCCTTCTCCTCCTCCTCCTCCTCCTCCTCCTCCATCTCCTCCTCCTCCTCCTCCTCCTCCTCCTCCTCCTCCTCCTCCTCCTCCTTCTCCTCCTGGGAGCTGTCGCCTCGTCGTTCTCCTCGCCCTTTCGAGCCCGTGGGTTCTCCGCCCCCTTCGCGGCCTGCCCCAGGCCCCGCCGGACCTCTCCTGCACCAAGCTGTGCCCCGTGCTGGTCAGCGTTGGCGCCTGCAGCGGCGCCGCCTGCAAGTTCGCGCACAGCAAGGCCCCCACCCCCCCCTCGCTCCTCCTCCTCCTCCTCCTCCTCCTCCTCCTCCTCCTCCGACTCCTCCTCCTCCTCCTCCTCACCCTCTCCCTCACCCTCACCCTCCTCCTCCTCCCCCTCTGGCCGTTGTCATCCTCCTTCTCCTGATTGTACTCCCCCTCCTCTTCCGCCTCCGCCTCCTCCTGCATCCGCATCCTCTTCTTTCTTTCCCAAGCGAGGGCGCACGTTTCCTCCCCCTCCTCCGCCTGCTCCCGCCTCTTCCCCGTACCTGGCCCGCGAGGCGAACAAGAAGCATCCCCCCTCTGTTGCTCCACCTCCTTCCACCGTCCCTTCTCTGCCCCGTGCTGGCGGTGACGCTGCAAACGGGTCTATCCTCGAGGGGTCGCTGCGCTTGCACCCTCCGCCTCCTCATGCTCATCCCCCTCCCCATCCTCCTCCTTCCCTCCCCCTGAGCCCTGGCTCCCCATTCGCACTCTCGCTGCTCCTGCTCCCGCCCCTCGTGGCGACGAGATTTTTTTGGGGGGAAACGCCCGAAGGATCCCGAGGCGGCGACGACGACGACGACGACGACGACGACGACGACGACATCGTCGTCGCCGCCATCATCGCCGTCCATCCTGCCCAGGTATTTCGCGCCGCGTCCAGCCGTGGCCACGGCTTGTTTGAGGTGAGGGGCGCAGAGAGGACGGCGAGCAGCGAACGTCGTCGAAGCCTTGCTCTGAGCACGGTGCTTCCCAGACCCTCCACGTCATGTTCTTGCCGCAATCTCACAGCCTTGACCCCCCGAGGTCTCGACCCCTTCTCCGAGGCCCGCCTCTCATCCTGATAAATTGTCCGACGGCCCTGGGGCCCGACAGAGGGCTCCCAGATACCGAACATCGTAAAGAACCGTCCGACCGTGATTTTTGGCAGCAGCTCGACGGTCCCTCCTCCGCCGCCTCTTGCCTCCGCCCTTCTCCGCACAGGTGCCTCCCCAGAAGAGCGAAGTGTGTTTCAATCCTCCCGAGAACATCCTCCCACCTCCCCCCAAGAGCCGCTCCATCGCCAGATCAGCGACAGCGCAAACGACTACGACGACGACGACGACGACGACGTCCTTGTGGCCCTCGCCGAGGCCGTCGCCGTCGCCCTGTAGTCCTCCTCGTCGTCGCAGTCCTCGTCAGACCAGCGACGACGCCAGCGACGACGACGACGACGACGATGAGTACAACGACGACGACGACGACGACGACGACGACGACGACGACGACGACGACGACGTCCTTGTGGCCTTCGCCGTGGCCGTCGCCGTCGCCCTGTAGTCCTCCTCGTCGTCGCAGTCCTCGTCAGACCAGCGACGACGACGACGACGATGAGTACAACGACGACGACGACGACGACGACGACGACGACGACGTCCTTGTGGCCCTCGCCGAGGCCGTCGCCGTTGTCCTGTAGTGCTCCTCGTCGTCGCACTCCTCCGCCTCCCCGCCGCCCTCGGCGCCCTCGGCCGCCCTCGCCGCCGCTGCTGCCGTGGCCGCCGTCGTCCTCGTCGTCCTCCTCGGCGGCGTCTTGGGCACCTCGGCCGCCATCGGGCGGGTCGCGCGCCCGCAACCGCAGGAGGAGCTCCGCTCGGCGCTGGCGCGCGCCGCCTCTGCGAGGTCGTGCCGTGGCAGCAGCGGGCCGGCCGAGGCGCCCCCACGGGAGGACCGTCGGCGGCCGCCGCGTGCCGCCTTCCGGGGGCCCCCGAACGGTGTAGTGACCACGCGGCAGCCTGCCGCCGCCGTGGCGGCAGATGCTGGGCTCTGCGCGCGCAGCCGGCGCCGTCGCAGCGAGCTCCACTTCTCTTGTTGTGGCAGCCGCTGCGGGGGGAGCTTGCCTCCTCCTCCAGCCCCGTGGAGCGACAGGTGGCGAGGGGCTCCTCGGCGCCCCCCCTCCCTTCCCTTGTCTGCTCGTGTGCAAGGCGCTTGGACTCGGCTGGGGGTCTGCGTCGTGGCCCCCATCCTGGTCCCCGATCGTGGCTCCCCAGCATGGCCCATCGTGGCCCGGGCGCGGCGGCGACCCCAGCCCGTGCGCTCAATGTGAACGCCGCGGGTGGCGCGGAATCGGCCAATGTGGAAAGTTTACTCGGAGGTCGGGAAGCCGCCGCTCGTTCAAGGGTGAACGATTCACGCGCTGTCAGAGGCCAGGCCCGAAGAAGCCCACGGAGCGCCAGTTGCAGGAGGTGCACCCATGGGCCTTTTTTAAAACTTTGGGGGGCCCACGAGGGTCCACCGAGGTCTGGGGCCCGGTCTCCCTTTGAGCAGGCGTTTGAATGATGCAGACACGCTGCTCAGGGAGCGCAGCTGCCGACTGGTGCCTGAAGCGCCAGCGAAACTAAACATTATCTTGGCGAAGTACCCAACCACATGCAGTCGTGAGTGCCGTCGTTGCGGGCATCGCCCTGGAAGGAGGAAGGAGGAGAGGAAGGAAGAGAGGAGAGGAGAGGAGAGGAGAGGAGAGGAGAGGAGAGGAGAGGAGAGGAGAGGAGAAGAGAGGAGAGGAGAGGAGAGGCGAGGAGACGAGGAGACGCGGGGCGCTGTCCCTTCAGAACGAGGGCCCAGCATCACAGGATGGCTGGGAGCTGGCCCTATACACGTCGCCCGCAGGGGCGCGAAGGAGGTGAGCTGCGCTCTCCGCCCGTCGCGGCCCCGGGCCGCAGATGTGCCCCTCTCCAGGGCGCGCGGCCCGAGGGCGCGAAGGAAACGCGGGAGGAGGAGGAGAATCAGGAGGAGGAGGAGGAGGAGGAGGAGGAGGAGGACGCGTTCGCTCGGCGCGTCGCGGGACCTTCGTACCTCGACGACGACCCTGGCGTCCGCCGCGGGCGATCTCTCCTGCGGGGCTGCGCGAGGAGGCGCGAACACGCCGCGCTGTCTCGAGGCGGACTTGCGGCAGAGTGCAGATGGCCCTCCCGACCTCCTCAGGGGCCACGTTACGGAGGGGCTTCGAGAAGAAGAAGAAGAATAATCATTACAATAAGAATAAGAGAAAGAACAAGAGGAGGAAGAAGAACATGAAATGGCATAAACGTCAGCGCAGATCCAAGATCCGAGCGGACCTCCAACAGTTTGTATGTTTTAAACGGATCTATAAGTAGCACCCCGCAGTTGCGGATAAGAGTGGGGCGCGGGGTGGGTCGCGGTTGGGTCGCGGTTGGGTCGCGGGAGGGCCGCGGGTGGGTCGCGGGTGGGTCGCGGCTGGGTCACGGGCCCGGTCGCGGGCGGGACGGTGACAACAAACAACGAACAACAATCACCACCACCACCAACAATCCGCACCGCAGAAGACCATGTCAACCACGCACCCAGGGACAGTGAATGACCATTTGGCCCCATCACTCTGATTACTTTCTTTATGTAGGATTCGGTCGGGCACTTCTTATTAGCGTGCCGCTGCGGTGGTCCCTGGGATACGCTACGCCCTGCAAGCGGATAGCCGCCCTGCGGGGTGGGGGGCTGGAACAAGCTCGGCACGTTAACGCTTGGGAGTTGGAACATGCTCAGCGTGACGCGCCGAAGCGTGGTGGGCCAGAACTGGCGGCGCGACGCCCTGAGCAAGCGTTCCCGACCGCATACTCAGGGGCAACGCGTCGACCCCCAATCGACCACTCGTCGACGTTAGGGGCCTGATGGCCCACCCCGCCCAGGAGAACGCAGATTCGCTGTCCAAGGCCATGCGTCCGATCTATCGACGGTGTCTCGCAGATTTCAGGTCGATGTTCCCATCCACCTCCTCCTGAACCCGTCCCCCCCCGTCGTTCCCCTCGCATCCGAGGGGTAGCGTTGCGGCGGAATCCTGTGTCGATTTGTTCCATGTGTGGGGCCCCTGCTGGTTTTCCATTCCGAGTCGTCTTCTGATGGCCCCGGACCCCGAAAACGCAGCGGCCGAGAACGACAAAAAATATGCGGCATGAGTATTTATCGCAGGAGGTCTTGAACGCTGCGTGGGGCCCCCCACAAAGCTCTGGCTTGGCAATCCGGTGCGGGGGTCGGCGGCCACATTATTTGGCTGGTATTGTTCGCTGTGCTGGTTTCTATTGGGCGGTTATTTCTTCTGGCGGATATTCCCCCTGGGTCCCTATACGATAGAAAAAACAGTGCCTGTTCGCACAAGGCTTGTAGTACGAGTCCGTACCCTTCCCTTCGAGGCGTGTTTCGTACAGTCGTAGTAGCGATCGTCGGCGAAGACGGCGACGGCGGCAGCTGGCAGTAGCATTCGAGTTGCTCTTAGTGCATTGTCTTACTGATTTAGGTATTAACCTTATTGGAACATGTGGTGGCAGTAGTAGTAGCAGTAGTAGTAGTAGTAGTAGTAGTAGTAGTAGTAGTAGTAGTAGTAGTAGTAGTAGTAGTAGTAGTAGTAGTAGTAGTAGTAGTAGTAGTAGTAGTAGTAGTAGTAGTAGTAGTAGTAGTAGTAGTAGTAGTACTAGTACTAGTACTAGTACTACTAGTAGTAGTAGTAGTAGTGGTAGTAGTAGTAGTAGTAGTAGTAGTAGTAGTAGTAGTAGTATGCTAACGGTCTCCGTAGCCTTTAAGGCTCAGAAAGGTATAATCGATATCTGCGCCACTCCTTTTTCATGGTAGCGGAGCGCTGTCAGATCCACGGCACATTTTAGTTCCAGTAACGCATCCCTTCGCCAGGTGTCTGCTCGGGCACTGGCGCCTCTTGTGCAAAGATGGCAGAGCCGGACGACCTGCTGAGGTTGGCGAGGCCGCCGACCTTCAGCGGCAAGGAAGATGAATGGACAGAGTGGAGCTCCGTTATGCGGAGCTACGCGGCGGTGCAGGCTCCCGAGATGACCCACCTGATCGAGGCGGCGGAGAGCGCAGCACGCCCAGACATCACATTAGACAACATCCAGCAACTGCTGGGTGCTGGAGGAGTGGCGGCGGCGAAGAAGCTGTTCCACATTTTGGTCATGAGCGTCAAGGGGCCGGCACTGGCCGTATTACGTTGAAATCGCGAGGCAAATCGAGCTGGGGCTTGGCGAGCACTGACCCAAAGGTACGAGCCGAACACGGCGCCCAGAGTACAGAGCTTGATGAGCTCGATCTTAGCGACGCCCCAGTTTCCATCCGACCTCCCGGGCTACGAGACGGCCTTGAGCGAGTGGGAGGAGACGGTACGCAAGTGGGAGACTATTTCGGGCGACCGGTTCAACGCGTCCATGAAGAAGGCGCTGTTCATAGACAAGGCTCCCAAGTCGGTGAAGACGCTGCTACGAATGCAGAGCTCGGACACCTACGAGCAGATGACCATGGTGACGCTACATTTCATGCAGAGCAATGCGCAGTATTTGGCCGGCGTGCCAGTTCCGCCGCGGCCGCGACGAGAGCGAGACCCAAACGCCATGGAGGTCGACGCGCCGACGAGGAAGTGCAAGGACGCCAAGGGCAAGGACAAACTGGGCCGAGGTAAAGGCAAGGACGACAAGAACGGTAACACGATCAACATTAAGGCCGATTGGATCAAGGACGCGGAGTGCTTCATATGCCGCAAGAAGGGCCACTTGGCGGCCGATTGCTGGCACAACCCGAAGGGCAAGCCGCAGGACTCCAAGGGCAAGGGCAAGCGAGGCACGAAGAAGGGCATCAACGAGCTGACGAGCCAGGAGCCCTGGATCGCTTGGAAGGCAGCAGCAGACGCCTTCACAGCGGCCTCGTCTGCAGGGGCACCGTCGACTTCGGCGAGCCAAGCCCCGGGCCACGTGGCGAAGTTCACGTACCACGAGCACGAGGGCGATTACGAAACCAGCCACATCTTTGCCATCACGGCCCGATCGAACCAGGCGAACTACGTTGGATACAACGTTGGTCCATGGTTTCCTATGTCAGTCCTTGTGGATAACTGTGCCGACGAGCACGTCTGCGGCCCAGAGGACTTCTATCGGCGTGGGATACAGCGCAGCGCCGACCCGAATCTCGAGGCAGCCAACGGCCACAAGATCAGACACTACGACGAGCGCTCTGTCAAGCTGAAGCTGAATGACGGCAACAATATCATCATCACTTTCCAGGTGTGCGACGTGACGGGGCCCATCCTGAGCGTCGGCAAGTTCTGCGGCGACGACTCGAAACGGAACGCCAATTTCAACATGAACGGAGGTACCCTATACCACGAAGCGGCTGGCGAGGTGAACGTGGACAGAGAGAAGAACCACTACGCGCTGCAGCGCTGGGTGGAGAAGCCAGGCGTAGTGGCGCCGCTCTCGGCGGGCGGCAGCTCGGGCAGCGCGCCCGCGGGCCAGGCGGCCCCGGCGCCGCAGGGAGACGAGCCGGCACCACAGCAAGGCAAAACCAACCGTTTTCAGTCAAAAGTGGTTGGTTTCCGTGGGGCGCCACTCCGATTTGACCGAGCGGTACAGGGAGATCTTCAGCCTACAGGAGCACATGCGCCACCGGCAGGAGTGGACTAGGTCGAGCAGGAGGTGGCCCCAGTCCAGACTTTACCAGGGCCAGAGGAGCCGAGCAAGGAGGAGTTCGAGATGCATAACCTATTGCACGACCCGCCGATGCCGTGGTGCGAGATCTACATCAAGGCGAAAGGCAGAGACGCCTGCCACCATACCCCCCACCAGAAGCCGATGCCCGTCATCCAGCTCGACTACGCGGAGGCGGGCAGCGGAGACAGTGCTGTCCCGAATTTCGAGTTCATTGTGGGCGTGGACATGTCTACGGGAGCCGCGTGGGCGTCGGCCGTGCTGGTCACGGGGAAGGAAGACGTCTACGTCGTTCGATCGTGTCCTGGCTAGCAGAGCTGGGCCACACAAAGGTCATCATCCAGTCTGATGGAGCGCCGGCGGCAGAGGCTGTCATGGGAGCCGTACAGGCGAAGGCATGGACCATGCAGTCGCCGCCGTGCGAGGTCATTTTACAGCAGCCCCAGCGGCACAGCCATCAAAGTAACGGAGGAGCAGAACGCATGGTGCCCACCATCCGGAACCAGATGAAGGCCTACAAGATCCACATCGAGACGAACACGGGCATGACCATCCTGCCAGACTCGCCGCTACTGACGTGGTTCCCGAGGCACGCCGCCTGGCAGCACACGAGGTTCCACAAGCGGCAGGACTCGGGCATGACGGCCTACGAGAAGATCAGCAGGGCCCCCTATCAGAAACCGATACCCTTGGCGGGCGAGACGGTGGCGCGCCGCCGCCCAGGGGCCGTCATCAA